CATTTGATGATTGTATAACTGACCACCAACAGAAAACTTCCTCTTTCATATGAAAACCTCTTCTGCCCTCAGAGAAAAAAGCTGAATGTACTACAGCTTTAGTGGAGGAAAAGTTACAAAATCATCAAGCCAACAGTTCAACGTATCAGGAGAGAATAAATGTGTTCAGACTTACCTTGCTCACCAAGGGAAAGAAGGTAAGAGAATGCGTTGAGTTGCTCAGGTTTTTATACTCAGTGCCAACATGGGACATTCTTTGTGCATGAAGTTATTTATGAGCCATGACTGATTACATGTTTTTTTTCCCCTCAGTATTTGTGTTTATTACTGCTTCACTTCCTTATCTTGTGGCATGTATATCTGACCACAAGTTTCTTTCATCTTAAAATATTCTGGGCCAAGTTAATTTCTGGGAACACTAGAATGATTAATTCATAAGAATTTATTCTTCTTTCATAATCCTTTTGGATCTGCCTGGTGTCATTAAAGGAGATTAAGCATAATTTACATAATGCAGTCCCTTGTACCCTCCTCTGGAAGGTACCTTTGGAAATCATAAAGAATTTAACCTTTGGAAGTCAGCTAATGAGTACTTGTAATTTGGGGATTCAAGCTGCTTTTAGGGAAAAAGAGAAGGCAGACTGATGCTTTTCAGAAAGTTGGCAGGAATACACGCACAATTTTCACCCAACTCCAGCCCCCTAATGAGATAAGCACAGATACTGTTGAAAGGGGAGGACACTGAAGAACCCTGTGAGAGTCAAGAGGAGCTGAAAAGTGTTATGGCTGTATACAAAAGCTGAGATGCAACCAGAAAAACACTTAAAGATACTCCTTCTTTGACATAAGAGACAAAAAGAGTATTAGAAGTCCAGTCTAATGAGATAGTATCAGATTATAGCACTTCTGTGGAAGAGTCTGAAGCACAAATCTTACTAATATAGAATCTTTCTTGTCTGTCTCTAAATCTTGGCCTGATCTCTTAGGAGCTCTTTATATAAAGAGTCCACAAATCCACTTCTACTCTTATCTCAGACCTCAAAACATCAGCAACTGTTTTTAGGTTCACTTCCCCACAAATAAATATGTTGCATTGCTTGGTGAAATTTGTTATCCAGGAGGAGTTCCGCAGAAGTTAAGGGTTTGCAAAACTCAGCTGTGGAGGCAGTAGTAGTCCTGTAAAATAATTCTTCTTTTCCTGTTGCAGCATTACTTTCTCCAGCTGTCCCTGCAGTGTCTGGTACAGCTGTGTTATAAACCAATGGTAAACCAGTTGGAAAAGTGTTAAAAGTATATAAATTGTCAATAATTTCTTCACTTGGAGTCAATTTTTCATTGTGCAATCCAAAGAGTGCTGTAAAGTGACAGAAATTGAGCCTTTCCTTTAGGGGGGTCTTACAAGAAAAATAATAAAGGGGTAAAATACATAAGAAATCCTAGACACAAAGATTATTACTGAGGTTTTTGCTGTCCTAGCACTTTAACTACTGAGACATGTAAATCACCTCTAAATGAGGAGTGTCTTTGTGAAGATCCCCTGGGAACAGAAACTTGTTTGGCTTGGTCATAGGCCTGAGAACTTCAAAGTTTATCAGAAGCTTTTATTAAAGTCCTAGGCATGCAAAGTATCATGTTATGTGCAAGTTTAAGATATGTGACCCATATTTGAATTTTTATATCACTTCTGTAATAATATATTATTAAGATTTGGGAGTGCAGGTCAGTCATTGGGTTCTAATATTCATGTCATTGTTCCTGGCTGCAGGAATTACAGCTATTCAATTTTTAATTAAAAAATAACTCTAGGTTTGGTTTAAGCCATCTCATATTTTAAGGAGATTCTCAAATAAATTGCCCTAGCCTTTTTTAGCTTCACCAACCCTGTCCATTCCTCAGTGCTTCTCCATATTCTACAGGATTAGCAGGCTTTTTAAAAAATAATTTCCACTATAACAGCTGGTATCTAGCTATTTGATTAATTAATTTGCATTACAATACCCATAAATTATTTACATCAATTTTTTTACTCCTTTTTTATCTAAGCTTTGCTTCGAAAACACAAAATACTTTTAAAATCAGCCTATGAGTTTAGAAAAAGGATCTAGCAATATTTTCAGAGATGTCTACGGCCTCCTTGAAAATAATTACAACAATTATTGTTCTAACTCCAGCCGCCTATTATACAGTCAGAATGACTTAGCTGCCTGATCTCTGAGGTGAACTAAAGTGAGTGAGTCAGAAGATCACAGCTTTTTTTTTTTTTTTAAATATATAATCAAGGACAGACCTATATATTCAGATTCTAATTAAAACTTTTTGCATAATGTCAGAACATCCTCCTGAGACACCTGTGAGTGACTAAATATCTGGGGAAAAAAAAAAAATCTTAATCAAAATGAAAGAAGCAGCTTACTCACAGTAATCCCTACATAATAGCTCCAGTCACAAAAGTGACACCAAAACCTGTGCATGAAGTAACAGACAAACTGAAAATGGAAGTTTCACTGACAAGAAGCGTGCCATCTGCAATAAATCCTGAAATGTAATTAATTGGCTCATTATAAGGAAATGGATGTCTCAGAGGCATTGAGCAATTGAAAAAACCTGTAAAAGTTCTTGCAACTCAGAGCCCTCCTATTCTCTCACCATTTACACCAGGTCTGATGGTTCTTGCTTTTATCTCAGACCTCATTCTTAGCTAATTATACTATTACAGATGCTTATTGACAGTATTAGCACAGCCTGGGTATCCTACACAGCCTTTTGAAGTGCACACAATAATAATCTAGGGCACCTGCTTCCAGGCCATGGAGAGTCAGCTCTGTTGATGCCCTCATGGTATTAGAGACATCCAACTTATTCCTTAAAACAGAAGATGTATCCATCATTTAAGTTTTTTTTAGTTCAGTTAGACTGGATGCCTCCGCATGGCATTGCTGTTTCTATTGCAAGCCACCACTCACAATTTGCTGTAATTTCTTGTTTGACCCAGGTGGCTCCATAATACACGTGGTATGTATAATGTGAGATGCTATTTTGTGTAGGCAGAGCCTGTGACTTGGGCTTCACAACTTGAGCTTCTGCTGCTCAGAGAGCTCCCCTGAAGGCAAAGGTGCCAAAATACAGGCAGCTACGTAGTCGTCAAAGTTCATATCTTAACATAGCTATGTTCATTGTTAATGTTATTCAAATTCTGTTATGAAGAACTGTAAAAAGACTAAAGTTTGAGGTTTGGTTTTACATTGTGGTCTAATAAGCTTAAGCAACTTATCTTACAACTTCCCCTTTTGTCAAAAAAATAAATTAACTACTGCATAGAGATCTGTGGAGTATTTCTGCAAAGAGTCAGGTATAGTGTGGTCGTTATGCTTGAATTCAGTGGGGAACAGTAAAAGTAATTACAACAAATATTAATTTACACAGGAGGGAAGAAATTATTTACTCACCAGAACCTCCTTAGAACACCACACACACAATGGGTGGGCTTTAGTTAGCTTTCAAATAAATTTAATTTTTTAAATATAGACTTTAATTATATTTCAGATCAAAAGAGCGCAATTAGGATTTCTCTACCCATGCACTTGTGCGTCAGATCCACCTTCCTTGCAAATGCGGTCTTGGTGCCACCAAGGTTGAAGAATGTGTACTTGTAATCCATCAGCTCAGAGAAAGGGATTGCCTATAATCACTGGAATAAAGCCTTTTCACAAGGCATCTTTTCTTTCTGCCAAGGGTTACATGAGGGTTACTCACATGCATTTTGCTGCATTACATGCCAGGTCCCTGATTTTACATTTATTTCCATTTGTCACTTAGGAAGAAAAAGATCACAACCTACTTACTTGGAGTTGCAAACCCAGGACTAACACATATTCACTTAAAGCCTTTCCATCCCAATAAGCAAAGAAGTTTTCATACTCAAAATAAACTTTGAAATTACAGACTTTTGCTAGGGGTGAAAATTCAGCCTGTCATTTAACTCCACAGACACCTGCAGCCATTGAGTGTACACAAGTGTCTCTGCCAAACCCAACTGTTTCAGCACCAGGAGCTCAGTTTACAATGAGTTACAAATCTACATTTCAGTAACCTCAGATAAGTTGGCATTAATTGCAAAAAATATTCAATTTGCTTTGCTGGGGGAGCAGGTCTCCTCTTAGAGCATTCCCCCCAGACTCCCTATGGCCTTTTCTCTTTGGGGTCCCACTTTGCTCAGACCATGCCCATCAGAAATGCTTTCTGATGAACAAGAGGAATTTGACAACAAGCAGTTTAAGTGCATGGTCTCATTCCCATGGAGAAAGCCAGAGATGGGGAAGGAAATGTGGCAAAACTATAGTACTTGTAGTCAAAGAACCTACACTGTATATAGTATCATTTTCCCAACCATGTATCTAGTTTATTTCCAACAAAAAAAGAAGCTTTTTGTATCTACTTGTATCTACCTTGTATATACAAGGTTTTCTGGCTGTAAAATTATTCCTTGGCATAGAGGTCATCAGCCATATCCTTTTTTCTAGTCAACATAAAAGTAGATTTCAATTCATAAAGCAGGGGAACAGTAAGAAAATTTACAAAAAAAGGAGCTACTAAAGGTTTTTCAAACAAAAAACAGGAAACTGCAATTGTGATGCAGCATAATTTTAATGAGAGCAAAAGTGGAATAAAAAAGTACAAAGCATATATTTCTAGGATTCAGTAAGACAACAGATAATATGTCTTTTCATCCTGGCTTTCTTTTCTCAGTGCTGCTGTGAACTGAGACAATAAAGTCCCACCTACAGCAATAGAAAAAAAATATGTTTCATCAGAAATATGAAGTATTCAAAGAATAAGCAGAGGCCTGATTTTAGGAGATGCCAAGCTCCCACAGCTCCATTAACTTCAGGCGAGTGTTGGGTGTCTGACACCGCATCTGAAAACCACGGCCATGAGCTCAGTCCTGCATCAGATCATGCTTCAGCACTTCTGGTCATTTCTTCCTGTGTGCTCCTCACGCTTTAGCACAGCTCGCTGAAGCCACTGCGGTAGGTGTTGTAGCGACGGTAGGGCCGGCTGTACCCACTGCCCAGGCCTGGGTAGCCAAAGCTCCCAAATCCCGAGGAGCTTCCAGAGGAGATGGGCACTCCCTCAGAGTTGAGGTTGCTGCCAACGGCAGCGGAGGTGGTGGATCCCACAGCGGTGTTCTGTGGGAAAGAGCTGAGGATGGGTCCAGGCAGAGTCACCACCACAGGAGGGGGCTGGATCACGTATGTTGAGTCCTGGCACTGCCTGACACAGGGCTCGTTGCAGCTGTCGGCAAGTGGGGTTGGGCCACAGGGGGTGGGAGGACACAGGTCGTAGGAAGACATGTCAGTGGGACACAGGGAAGGCTGAAATACAGGGAACAAAGTAAATGACTATACAGACTGTGTAATGGCTGTATAAAGGCTGTATTAACTTTATGAAAGTCAGGTAAGAGGATAACATATGGGAAATACCTAGAGAAGCTGGTCAGAGAGGTAATCACTTATTAGATCAACATCCATAGTAGACAGTGAAAACAGCAGAGAGGTTTCTCTTATTTTTCTAAGGCTGGAGGATGTCTCTGTTCTGCGTCTGGCCGCTGAGCTGTGGTGCCAATCATGGTGAGGTTTACCCTAACCCTTACCACCAAAGGCATTTCCCATCCTTCAGTAGTTTCCCTTTGCACCATCTCTCTGGAGAAGGTGCAATTGTGACTGTATCAGGAGATGGAGAACAGCAGCTGGAGCCCTCACTGGGCACAGAAAGTGGCCCTGAGCTGCATACTGACACAAAGCTGTGTTTAGTGCCTTAATGCTGGAACTTCAGTCACTAATAACCCAGCCAGCAGCACTCGCAGGCCTATAAAAAAGTGTTTGAGAAGCATCCTTTGCCCCCAAATCTCGTATGACCAGAACAGGCAAACTTGGAGTATGAAGAAGGATTATATTCCCCATGAGAACTTTCTGCCTTGATTTGAATTCAATCTATTTGAGACTGCTGGGTTTCCTGCTTTTCTGCCTGTGGAGACCCAGACTTAGGCATAGATCCTGTAACTCAGCACATTTTTTTTCTCCCCTAGTCCCAGTTTCTAAAGATGAGACTGTATTTCCAACCAGGTTCATTGGCAAGCTACTCTCTTCGGGCTGGTCTCTAAAGTGGAGCATGAAGCTACTTGTTTTAAGAGACAATACTGCCAGTATCCTCTAAGTCCTGTCTCATTACGCCCTGCTTCACAAGTAAATAAAGCCTTTCTTTTTGAGAGAAGTAAGCTGGTCTAATTTTCCTTCCCAAAAGGAAAAAAGCTAGCACTGTTTATAAAGAACTAAGAATAACAAAAAACCCCAAAAAACTCCCACAACAACAACAACAACAAAACAGTCTTCAAAGTAACAGTTTAGCATTTAAAAAGACACTGGGTAGATTCAGACTTACCTGTTCACCTGGACGAATAAGGCAAGAGAAGTAGATGGAAGAGTCTTGTGTTGTATAGGCTTTTATACCATGTTCCAGACTGCCTGCAGACCAGAGACACATATTATGCATGAAATTATTTAATGATCCGTACATTTGCATGCAAAATCCTCCAAACTGATCAAACCTTTTTTTTTTCTTCAAAATTTTTTCCCCTCCCCTTATTACATTCACATTCCAGTATAGAGAAAGCTTTCATCTTCACCAATGTGCAACTGCTTAATTGCTTGGAAGACTGTGGTGACTCGTTTGAATTACAGCAGTAATTATGTTGCCTCCTAAGGCCAATGTACATTTTATGTCTCATTTTAGTCATCAGGACACTGCTTAAGGGGAGTGTGTTATGCATAGTCCTTATTCAAGACTTCACCTCTTCAGGTGAATAATCATTTAGCTCTGAGGTGGGGGCCTGGGCTCAAATCCCAGAGATTTACATTTCAAGGAATTGCTTTACCACAAGACAAGATGCACAATAGGTATTCCAAGATTTTGCACTTCTGCACTATTTCAATCCCACACAAACATACAGATGAGAAGAGCACCAAAGTTCCATGAGTATTGCAAAAGTTAAAGAAAACTGAGACCGGTGAGAATTGCTGACCAGAGACAATTAAACATGTTCTAAAACTGCCTGGGATAACCCACAGTTTTTCCAGTTTGTACAAATACAGATAATACAAACACATACAAGCCTGCACGTTTTTACCCAATCATAAATTTTAACTTAATTTTTTTGTGCCGAAGTCACACGATCACAGTTTTAATAAAAGAGCTCGATTACTTGATCTTTTTGCTTTGTGACATTTATTAACTGCCTCTAATTCTTCATATTATTTCTGTTCAGTCTGTCATCTGAGGAATCACAATTATTCCTACCTGAAATCCCAGGAAGTCACCAGGATGTACAGCAATTTTTACATCAAATTCAATATGAATGTGCATGTTAAAGATTGCTTTCAAGTATTGATTCTTAGAGGCAATGCTCTGCCTGAGCCACACTACATCAATAGTTTGTTACACCCAGCAGTTCTCTATTACTTTTATCATTGCATGATTGTTTTCACCTGTGAAGCCTTCAGTGTCCTGCCCTGGCTGTACTCCAACCTGCTGGAAATACTTGCATAGACAGAAAACATGCAAAAACCAGGTATCAGATCTCTCCTCTTAGCACCATTGTCCCTCAGCAAGAGATATGAATTAACTCTAAATGAAGAGTGTCTTTGTACCTAGGTTGGTCTTGGTCTTCAGAAGAACAAAGGACTTCAAAGTTCAGAACAGCTTTTCACTAATGGCTCAAATATGCAAAGTTTCATGCTACCTAATGTTCAGGGTACGTGACAAGATCACACCACTTGCATCACCTGGCTAATAACCTAATTTCAAAGGGTGTGAGTCAAGATCATTCAAAGGACTTCACAAACTAATTCAAGGTAAACACCTGCAGAAATTTTAATTATTTTCTCTAAAAAATTTGTAATTGATTAAAAAAAAAAGCCAAATCTTCATGTCCTGTAAAATCCTACAACTACATATTTTAATGATTCTCCACAAGAAAATTCTCCTCTCCTTTGCTATAAAAGGAAGAGGGAGTCTTTTTATTCCCTTTCTTCAAAATCTCTACTATCCAACACACTACCTGTCACTTTAGATTTTAAAAAATTATTTCCTTACAATAGCTGAAAGCAGTCACTCACCTGGAGAATTCATTTCCTTTTCATCTGTGAAATGAGATAGCCCAGGAATGCTAACCCTCATTCTTCCCTCCAGGGACATAAACACTTTTTCTTGGAGGGCATATAATATTTTCAAAATAGACCCATTAACAACCTGGATATGTTTTCATTGATATTCTGCCAGTTTAGTCTAATTAACACCTTAAGTTCACATGAAAGTTTGAGAGCCTTTGGATCTTGATTTTGGAGATTTTTCAAGCTGGTGAATCAAGACATAACAGCTCTCACTTATGGATCAGTAATGGAGTTTCACATTCCACACACTCAATTAAAACCCTTTGCGTAACAACAAAGTGCTCCCATGACAGGCTGGTGAACTAGCAAATTGCCAAAGAGCTGACAAATTAATTACTTACATGAACTGAAGTTTGTATCGTCTTCATGTTGACTTCAGAGGCTTGAGTGTAATAGTACAAGGTATTCAAATGATCCCCAGGTCTTTGAGATGAAAGCAGCTTTGAGGAAGGCTTGTCATCTGACGCCAGGATGAAACTAGACTAGTACATAAACCATAAGCAATTTAAATACTGGGAACAATTTAACTATTGGGGACAATTTAACCAGCTGCGACAGAATTTGTATAACTGGAATTATCTGAACGTCTCAAACCTTCCCAACATGAGAAACTCTTAAATTTTTCCCTAAATTCTATTGGTTTAGTAGCTTCAGTGGTTGTTGCAAACCTGATTTAAATCTCAAGCCCTTAATTTTAGCAAAAACAATCTACTTGCGAGGATTTCCAAAGGTTTTAATTCCTACAAGTGTCCTATATTTATTTTATGTTGGCATGCTTCATTCCTTGATATGAGATTTTTGTTGGAATTCTGTAGGGCTGCAGCCAGGACAGGCTTTTATAAGGACCCTTAAAATACACAGTACATGTGCAGTAAATAGTGAGTAAATAGATCAAAACACTTTGCTCTCTGTCACAAAAAGCTTTGTGTACTCCTCCTTTGAGTCTTCTGCTGCTGTTCATGTTTTACTTCACAAATACAAGTGTTCAAGCAGTAATTTGATGGTAAAGGATGTAAATCTATCTTTGTAGCCTGCAGCTCCGGTTCAGAGTTATTGAGAGCATGAATCACAACAGGATTCCTTAAAACAACTATCATTATATGCTAGATTAGATACCCTGCTATTCTGTTAGATCATAAAAAGCTTCCAGCCTTGGGAATAATTTCTTGGAAGAGATGCAGAAAGCCAAGTATTATGATGAGTCAGTGTGGATTCAGTATGCATTTCAGCTGCAAAATTAAACGTTTTCTTGACCTTGAACTCTAAACACGTGTTCTTTTCTTTTTAGTGGCCCCAATAGTATTCATATCATGTCTCTGCCTGCTAATGATCATCTACGCACTGATGTCACCAGGAAAAGTTTCAAAAGAAGGTATGAGAGGAAGAAAAAAAATAACAGAAGACTGGAGTTATGATAAAAGCATAAATTTATTGATACCAAAGTGAGGATTAAAATACTGCCAAGCAACAGGTTTTAGTATGGGAAGAATGGCATGTCTCGTGGTGATGTATTCCACAGACAGAGCACTTCTTTCAGTGCAGCATTGCACCTTGACAATCAAGTCCTCTCAACTGTCTAAATTCCAAGTTTTACACCAGGTAGTATCAAATACAGTGATGCACAGCAGAACTACATACTTGGTTAGAAATATGAAGTAGTATAACAAGAGTAGGGGCTTCTTTTGAGGAAATTACTAACTCCCACAGCTCCGTTAACTTCAGGTGAGTTGTGGATGTCTAACATTGCTTGTGAAAACCATGGCCATGAGCTCAGTCCTGCGTCAGGTCGTGCTTCAGCGTTCCTGGTCATTTCTTCCTATGTGCCACTCACGCTCTAGCACGGCCCATGGAAGCCACTGCGGTAGGTGTTGTAGCGACGGAAGGGCCGGCTGTACCCGCTGCCCAGGCCTGGGTAGCCAAAGCTCCCAAATCCCGAGGAGCTTCCAGAGAAGATGGGCACTCCCTCGGCACTGAGCACACTCCCAACAGCTGCAGATGCTGAGGACCCCACAGCGGTGTTCTGGGGGAAGGAGCTGAGGATGGGTCCGGGCAGGGTCACCACCACGGGGGAGGGCTGGATCACCACGGTCGAGTCCTGGCACTGCCTGACACAGGGCTCGTTGCAGCTGTTTGCCAGCGGGGTTGGGCTGCAGGAGGTGGGAGGACACCGCTCGTAGCAGGACATGGTTTTTGGGTGGAGCTAAGTCTGAAATACAGGTCCAGAAGTGAATGCAATGCAGGAGATGTATTACACTTACATTTACTTAGGTCAGGCATCAGGAAAACAAAAACTTTCCAGGGATCCTTTTAGGAGTTGAGAAGGAAACAGAGTTCTTAAATAAGCTACAAGAAGACGGAGGCTGAAATAATCCTCTCTGAGTTGCTGGTGATCCAATGGAATAGCTTGCAGCACAACAAAAGGGCACATACCTGTATCATTACTTTAATTTTAGTATATTGATTGTCTGTATGTCTGGAAAGACACTACTGAGACTCAGCCCCAGGTATTCAAAGCATTGTAGAAGTAGTAATTATGAGTAATACCTAGCCTTACGAATAGAGTTCAATAGACACCTGGAAAATTACATGAAGAATTATTTTCCAGGTTCCAAATTTGCCTACAAAGAGGGTACAAATTTCATTATAGTTAAGCATACTTGAAGCTGAGGTCCTTCAAAATCTTTCCCAGACAACTGGTCCACAGATGTGTCATCTATGAGAAAACCTGCTGTTCCCTGTATTCTCCCTGCGTCTGGTTTCAATGCACCAATAAATGCGAAGTTCACAATTTCCTGTGCCCATCTCAGTCGGTTGGGTGCTCAGGTCCCCTCTGGTTTTGCTGTTTTTTCCCCTTGTCCTCACAGTCCCTGAAACCATTTCTCTAAACTTGCAGGAGATGTCATTACACCCTATATCATAATTTCAAAACTTGGCAACCGTAAGACACCAAGCAGACCCTTTGGTGATGTCTATCGCGTTGAGTCCATATTGATTGCTGTAGCAGAAGGTGTTGAGGATATGTGAATAGAGCCAATATCCTTGCTGAACTCAGTACGACTATTCTTTCTAATCCCAGTAGGCAGCTTCATTTTGTCTTCATTTAGAAAGCAGTATTTAGAGCTCAAAAGCTTATGGTTCAACATAATTGATTTTTAAAACCCTCAAACCTCTGCTTTAAACCTTCGTATTTTCCTTGCTCTCCAGCTCATTCTTTTAGTAAAAGGCTCTTGTTTCCCACTGTGCCCAGTAATAGATTCATCATAACAAAAATGGGAACTCTGAAGAAGCCTCCCACAGAATAAACAACAAAGAAAAAGGTTTTTCTGGATGACATTTCTGAAGATAAATCTATCCACATGCGTTACAAGCACTGTTGTTTTCAGATGAACCCAGTTGAAATTTCAGGCATTACAGATGATGGATAAGGCCCTTAAAGGTGTTAAATGCACATTGCTACTTGCAAAGTGACTGAGCACATAGACATCTGTAACCATAGAACGGTTTGAGCTGTAAGGGATCTTTAAAGATCATCTAGTTTCAACCCCCTTGCACAGGCATTCTACCCATTCAGTTTGTTAATCTATTATTATTATTGTTATTATTAGGGTTTGCTAAATAACTTAGCATGTCTGAAAGCTCACATTTGAATAAATCTATATCACCATTTCAAGGATCTATACAGCCACGTCAGGACTCCAGAAATATGTGCAATTCTAACAGCAAAACCAACTTTTTAAAGAGAGTCTTCTCCCCAGTCAACCCAGGAACTAGCAGAATACTGTGGAGAATAAAAAAACCCCAGCAATCAGATTGTTATAAAGGCAAGAATTCAGCAAAGAGAAAAAGAAAAGTAGATTTGAACTAACCTTGTTCACAAAATAGGAAAAAGGTAAGAAGTGGTAGGAAGGACCTTCAGTTGAGTTAGCTTTTATACAGCATCTCGGATGGCCTGAGGACCACAGACATCCTTTGTGCATGAAATTATTTACCAAGTATGTCCCAAATGCAAAATTCTTCAAACTGATTAAATGTCTTTTCCTTACTGTTTATTACTTTGTTTTCATTTCCTTATCTTTTGACATACATATTCCATCATACAAGTTTCTCTCATCTTCTGGTATTATGGACCAAATTTATTCCAGTGCCACCTTTCAGTCACAACAATATTTATGCTCCAGTGTATGTTTCAACTTAGTCATAAGGAAAAATATTAAGAAGAATTTATGCAATACATAATTCATCATTCAAAGGTGTTCTTTTATTAAGAGTATGAGTGTAAATCCTTAATAAATTCTGGTCTCCACCAATGTTTACAAAGCTCTGACTCCAGCAAAACATAAGAAAAATCTAGACTGAACTTGCGTTTTTTGCGAAGGACTTGCAAAAAGGCACAAGCATATGCACACCTGAAATCCCACTGAATCTAGTGAGAAAGAAACAGAGCCCATGTGTGAAATTCATAGAAAAACGCTATTATATCATCTCAAATTCAGATAATATCACTGTATTACAGTTCAGTAACACAGTTTGAGGCACAGCTGCTAGCACACAGGGACATTTAAACGTGATTTGTCTGTGCTTTATGAAGGAAACCTGTAACTTCCTTCTCTACTATCTCCAACCACAAATATGAATAGCACTTCACAAGTCATCTTGAGGACACATATGAGTTTTAAGCTGTTTTGAGGTATTATCCTTGCACAAGCTTAACTGTGGAGTCACTGAGGTAAAAACCACACAAGGACCTCTTCACCATTACAGTTTTTCTCCTCGTTACAGACTGCAGTACAACAGTGATTACACTGCAGACTGATGGAAGTTCATTGTATAAGTGGAATACATATACAAAATTCTGATTTTTTTTTTTTTTTAATCTTTACTTTGCAATCTCTTCCGTACAAGCTACAGTGTTTGAACCTCTCTTTGGAGAAGAGTTATTAAATATTGTGCATGAGGGTTCATAGACATCTGGGAAATAAAAGTTCTTGTTCTTAGGTTCCTACAGAAGGGCAGTTTCAAAGTCCTTCACTATTTTCATTAGCAATGTGCATATTCACAGAATTAAGTTATCAAACTGTTCATGATATATGATAAAGCTTTAACACCTTCATCACCTGCCCAATGAGATGTCTTTAAAACCTCTAAGACAAGGTCATTCTTTGTCATCTATAGGCCCACACATTCATTTATACCTTTGCTAAATGAAGCCATTTGTATTTTAACAGATTATGAAAACCAGCTCTGAACAGTTCTGTAAAGAAAAAAATTAACCTTTTGCAAACATGTAAACTCTTTTTCATAGTTCATTATCATTATATAAACTGACTCACAGTTTTAAATATTCCCCTTCCTATCCAGACCTAAACAATGCTACAAACCCGTAAACATGCACAATTTTCAAATACAAATTCTTCTGTAGCGTCAGATGTTTACTGGCAACCTGGAGAACTAGTTTTCCTGTAAAACTAGTAACACTATCCACAGAAGTTTTTAACACTTTTCTGCTTCCTTCTATTAATACAAGAGCTTCTATTTGGTATACTACCTCATATTTTAAAAACAAACTCATCGGAGATCTCTGCAGTATTTTCAAAAAGACTCCTGAACTGTCTGCTGACTGGCTCAAATCCAGATTGCTCTGATTGGCTCAAAGAACTCACCCAAGAGGCTTGAAGCCCTCCTTGGAGTTTTTTTTAAAGATGGTGAACAAGTTAACTGGCAATTGTTCTTAAGTGGGTCAGACAGGGAATTGCACACAAAGAGATTCAGTATATGTCTTGAGTGTGATCTTAGATTGTAAACCTGAGACACCTGCAAGCTAACAAATTGCTGAGGAGCTGAAAAAATTCTTTGTTAGACTGTAGAGTAATTTCATATTGACACTATTTGAGTCAGTATAAAAGTACCAGAAATTAAAAGTGCCTATAAATTGTGAAGATGAAAGAATTTTTAATGGGTAGAGTATGTTTATGCAATGACAGGCTGAACCTAGACTGAAAAACAAAAGCAAACCAATTTCATTATCAAGAAAAGGTTCCACCCGTAAAAAATATATGTGGGAACTAATTAATGCAAAAAAAACCCCAAACAAAAACCCAAACCCTCAATAGTTTCATATATTTATAAACATCCATATGCATAGCTATTGTACCCATTTCTCCAGTCTCAACATAAAAAAGGGACATGGCTTTCAAACTGATGTTCACATTCTTCAGGAATGTGAACATCTTTAACATCTTTAACTCTTTAACATTACATTTAATGAAGGATTCAGCATCCTGCACAAGTGCTCCGTGATGCCATGCTCTCTAAGGAGGGCTAGCTCCAGAGCACCGCTTTCTTTTTTCTTTTAAATCAGCAAGGATAGACTTAGGGGTTTATGGAAAAGAGTAGTTTTCCAAGCTTCTTCATTCCCAACAAACATCTTTCAGGACATGCTGTTGTTGGACACAGGTCGCTTAACCAGATACTTCTTTCTCCTGAAATTAATTTCTGTACTCTTTATGCTACATGTCCATAGAAAGATGCCTTCCTGCCACCAAGAATGAAGCCATTCTTTGATGTATGTCAGAGTGCAATCAGTGACTCCTCACAGATCTGAGTGAATTCCTGTGTGATCTATTCTAGGTGATCCTGCTCTGGCAGGGTGGTTGGACTAGATGATCTTTAGGGGTCCCTTCCAACCCCTTCCACTCTGTGTGTGAATCTCTGTGAGTGAATAACTAATTACTTCAGTCATTCCAGTTCTGTTAACAAGGCACCATATGCTTGTGTATACATTTCAGTCTCTTCAATTACTTGTTTGGAAAACACACTCACGGAAACCAATTTTTAAGCAGAGACTCCACTCAGTCTAGTACCTACTGATTTGGCACCTTTCATACTTTCCTTTGTTGGCTCAAGCCAGAGACTAAAATGGGACATATCCCATCTTATCTCTCAACTACTCCCTCTCCCCCCACCTCTCCCTCCCCATGTGGTAACTTTGCAAGTAAGTAATTCTTAAGTAAAGAAAACTTAGAACATAAGTGCAAAACATTTGAAAAAAACAAACCTACTTCTTTTCCTCTACTTGTGTGGACATTTGGACTGGTTCCAGCACTGAACCTGAATGCCAGGCATCCTCCCTCCAGTTCCTCCACTATTTCTATCTCAGCCATATGATACTTTAACTTTCAACTACAT